TTAATACTCAAGTTGCATGACTTTTCCCATTTTTCCAACTCATCTGGTGGTGCCCTATGTAAAGATACGTAATGCTATTTGTCGGTCCTGTTGTCGAAGTTGTGCTCGGGGTTTCTTCGCTAGTCTCTAACATCACTAAGATTAAAGAGGAAGAATCGACATTTTCGGGGGTAGAATTGCATATACGTAAATAGTCTTCAGAAGTACTAGAAATGTATATTTCCTTCAAAAATACCTCAAACTAGGACTTTCACTTTCTAATTCTAAAGCAAAGTCTCTAGAAATGTCGAGTCGTCATTTTAACATTCAAACGAGGATAATTCTGGACACACATGGATTTGAAGGCTAAAATTGCGAAGGTGAGCTGTGAACACAATTACTGATTAGCATAGCTAAACAAATCCCGTTTCTGAGATTCAAGTAAGATAAGTCAAATGAATGGCGAGGCGGACCCTTTAAATTATGATACTACCTCTAGAAGACAGCAACTTCCGAAATCCTTCTTGTTTCATGACTTGACTAAATACATCACTAGCTTTGCGTTTAGGGAACTCGTGATTTGTTTTCGAACTAATATTAGTAGGAGAAGGTGCTTTATCCGTTTGTCGTACTCCCTTTGTTTCCTGCATTCTATAAAAAAATATATCTGTCGTGTTACATCATAGACTAAAGCTAAAATAAACTGTACCTACTATTTGCAATTTCATCATTTAATTCAGCAACGAGAGAAACGTAAGTCTTATGGCAACTGGTGCGTGGTTTGGATCGCGAATACTTCGAGTACCAACCTAAGTCAATTGCTGTCATTGTCAAACAAATACTAATATTTAAGTTTGATTCGAGTTTTTATTGTAAGTATTCGTTTTCACTGTGTATATGAATATATATTTGTAACGCTTCCTAAAAGTCTAGTCAAAATGTTTCAAAATATCGTACCTCTTCATGGCTTGTGCTTCCAAGATCTTCTTTGCGTCAGGATATTCTCCCAAAGCCTGAAATATCAATGAAAAATTAGAAAATGTGAAGCTTTTGCAATTCATTTCTTTGCGCATCTCCAGAATCTATAACACGAAGCTTGGTTCGCCTACTCCAAACAGTTCATCTATAACAAGAGCCGTGAGGTGTCTCTTTCTCTCGCTGTACTCAAATCAAAGAGTTTTTCTACTGATATTGTAAAGTACATTCAGTTCTTCATTTTCCAGAGGAATTCATCCTTCTTCGGTAATTTTTTTCATTATTCATATACATCGTGTATCATAAGAGATAAAAAGGGCGAAATTCTGTTAAAATAGATGAACTATTTTTCTTAATATAGCCTTCAATTTCATATAAGAAACCTCATAAAGTAATTACAGCGTCACGAAATCCTTTTTTAGAAGAGAAATCAAAGAAAAGAAGGAATCAATCATGATGAAGGAAATAATAATAGGAAAAGAGATTTTCTTACCGAAATGAGATCTTTACGTGATAAACATAGCAATTCTGAATAACCTATAGCTCTAACATCGGCAGTTCGTCTGAAAATGGTGTATATGCGATTACCTATTACTAATTTCTAAGCGATTTTGTATAAGCGGCGACGATAATTTTGAATTAATCATAAGGTTAAGGATTCAGGCTTTTGAAAATTTCGTTGACATTTGAAATACTCATTTTAAATCGATATTTTTTGAACCACTGAAACTGACATTATCCATGGCTTTGAGCCATTAATTCTTTAGTCAATGGCTTTTGAATTAGTCAAATTGACTTTGCCGGTGCCTTTTGAATCATTCAAGCTGACTTAAAGGGTCTTGACTTAGTTGGTGGCTATTGAACGAACCAAGCTGACTAAGTGGCCTTAAACCAATATTGAATGTACTTAATTTGTGAAATGAGATTCAGAACCTACCTATTTTGTCCTTCATCCAATTTCAATAGACTGATTTCACCAAAATAATTTCCGGGTTTCAGTAAAGCTACTCTGGTAGAAATTTCACCTTTTTGTACTAAGATCTGAAAAAGGCGTAGATTATATCCAATTTCATAAAGTTGATAGCATCAATATAAAGTTGTATAGTCTTTTCATTCAGTTCATGACAGCTTCTGATTTTTAAACCCAGTTTTCCCGGTCAGTGGTGTCGGACGTGACATGGATGTTCTAGTCGTTCGGATGGGACAATAAAACGATAAACCGTTTGCTTCAGGTTGTGCACGATTATCACTCGATAGTTGGACGTAACACACGATTTCATTTCAATTTCACTAGATTTTTTACCTACCTCTATTTTCCCATGATTAATAATATACATCTCTCTGCCTATTTCGCCAGTACGACAGATATAATCACCAGGTGAATATATTATAGGTCGTAATTTTAATACCAATTCACGTAACAATCCTTCTTCACATTCTTCAAATATCTTCACCTTTAGACAGGAAAGAAACAACTATATTACAAA